TAGATTCCGTTTGTTCTGAAATTACTTTTTTCTGGATGATTACTGTTTTCTGGATGAAATCATTTAATCCTGACGAAGAGAGGTTAAACTTGCAGCGGATGAAAAGAGCGAGACACAACGAGAAAGAGAGAAAGAAAGAGAGAGAGAGAGAGAGAGAGAGAGAGAGAGAGAGAGGGGCGAGGAGGGAGGAAGGAAGAACACGGTCGCGTCCCTTCGTAATCGATAGTATGGCGACAGGATCACGGACTCTGTCAGCGCCTTGTCTCTCACCTTTGATACCGACGTTGTTGGGCGCAGCCGGTAGACCACGGGACACCTTTCGTTACTCCATTAGCGCGCGATTGATTACGCGAGCGACGTCGACCTGCCTCAGACGTCGACAACATTCGCGACGAGCCGACTTGATCGTGCGCTAATGTAGAATTCGGGACACGCGACGGAGGGAAACAGGAAGCGGAGAGGCGCAACAATTCCGAATCCGGCCGTGCCGCCCGAAAGAAAGCGCCGCGGAAGTTCGAGAGAGAGTTGTCTTTTTCTCTCTTTCTTCTCTTCCTCCCTCGTACACGTTTTTATCGACGTCCGGCCGCGACGTTCGGGCGCGGCGCGGCACGGCTGCCGTTCGTAAAGAGCAGCAGAACTTTGCGGAATACGCTTTCGCGAAGTTCGCGCGGCCACGTGGAGCACGCGAGAGCTCGCGCGAGAGCGACGGCGACACCTCCGAGATACATTATTCCGGGCGTCGTGTCGGGTTCGGGTCGGAAGGAAATTCCTCGGATGCGACTGGGAACTTCAAACCTCCCGTATTTTTCCCGCATGCTGCAAGACGGTCACCGTCTTGTCATCTTTCGTGGAGAGACAGTGAAAGACAGACACAGAGAGAGAGAGAGAGAGAGAGAGAGAGAGAGAGAGAGAGAGAGAGGGAGAGAGGGAGGGAGAAAGAGAGAGAGAGAGAGAGAGAGAGAGAGAGAGAGCGAGGAAAAGGGGAACAGGAGATGCGATAATATCGACTTTTCACTATGCTCCTGTCAGATTTCTTTCCGATGCGATAAATTCGCGACGTCCGACTGGACAAGTAAGAATGAGCCGGCCGCGAACTTGCACGATACGCGCGTACAGGCTGTTACGTGCTCTTACCCCTGACCGCACGAACCCGCTGACAAATGGCTCTTTCGCCGGATACTTAATGATATTGTTTGCGCATTTACCAAAGTTGCTTTTTTATATTATGCCAATGGTGATATCGATCGCCTCGATATTCCAGCGCGCTTGAGAAATTTAATATCTCGGGACACGGTATCGAAGAAGGCGCGCTCGCTTTTCTATATTTTCCTTGCTGCAGGAAGCTTTATGAAAAGACCCAAATTAATTATTAACTATTAATCGACGGAGCATGTTGGCTGATGAATTCTCTGGCAGTATCGATTTTTTCGATACGTCGCCACGTACGTAAAATCATATTATTTAATCGCCTGATATTTTTTTTTATATCGTCTCTAGAAATGACAATATATCGTAATAAAATTTAGAAAAAATGTCATTAGTAAAATATACGTAAAATAATCGACGGGAGTGAAAATAAAACATGAAATATATGAAATATTTTCTTCGTCGTCTGACGATGAACCCTGAGAGTTATCTTCAATAAAATTTGCGATAATTTGTGCACCAATCAAACAAAATCGGTGCCAAGTTGGCCATAATTTCAAATTTACTTTCCATTTTTACATTTAGGTAGGTTATATTATTTTATTTTGGACTGCAGCATTATTTTGGAATGCAGTCTTAAAATAAAAGGTTGATTATGAATTATAAGTTAAAATCTCCATACGCTTATTAAAAATTTGTCCGTGTACTTTGTAGAATAATAATGACATCGACGATATTTGTACAATACTCGCAGTATTTCGACGAATGTTCGAAAGGAATTCAGAGTTCCAACACGTTAACTACTACGATGGACACACCAGCAATATGAGCGGTGCCGAAGACTGCCGCGTTAATTTATGGGTAAGATTGGAATCTCTCTCATTATTCGTCTAAGCGATGGCAGACAGGAATCCGTCAATCATCCGAAAATATTTCTCAATGTTTTTGCATCGGAATATTCGCATTACCCGTCAGCGTCATGCTACAATCCGCTTTCAGTGAAAGAAAACAAAATTTGCTGAAAGACTGATGGACTCTTGTTTGCCGCCGTCTAGGCTAGAATAATGAGAGAATCGAGCATGAAACGTAACGTAATCGCGCGAGACAAATTAAATCTCCAGTCGGAGAGAGGGAGAGAGAGAGAGAGAGTCGATGAAACGAGCTAATAAGTACAACTTGTGAGCGTCGCCACTCGCAACTATTTACCACATCTTCTATGACTCGAACTTGAATCGTGCATTGAAATAATCAGCGGAGACGAGAGAGAGAGAGAGAGAGAGAGAGAGAGAGAGAGAGAGAGAGAGAGAGAGAGAGAGAGAGAGAGAGAGAGAGAGAGAGAGAGAGAGAGAGAGAGAGCCTGACAACAACATGTTCATTTATCCCGCTCGACAATTTGCGCCAGATATTCACGTCAGCTGTTCAATCATAGCAGGTGTTTATTACTTTCCGCATGTGTTGCCCATGCATGCTGCAATTAGGCCGCACACTTCATGTCTCCCTCTGTCGCTCTACAGCTCTAACGAGGCAACCCTGTCGATTGATATCTTTTTAGCCGGATTGTCGAAATACCGCGAGTACTGTACACGTATTATTGTCATTATTATTCTACAAAGTATACGTAAAACTTTTTGATAAGTATACGAATCTTAACTCGTAACTTATAATCAGTCTTCTATTAAGTACTTTATTGACGATAAGAAAAAAGTATTTCCTTTGTAGAAAAAAGGCAGAAAAAGATACGACGCATTATCATCTGTAGAGACGATATAAAGGAAGAAATTATATATTTAATCAGCCAGCCTTGAGGAGAGACGGAATGCTCGAAAAAGTAAAAATCCGTTTCGTCCGGCGATCCAGCGCGGAACGATGCGTCACTGAGTCTGCTCCACTTTGTCATTAATTGCATCATCAACCCCATCCCAAGCTGCCCGGCCTGGCGAGGACAAGGTCCAATTCAGCCCCACACTTAACCGGCGATTCCGGAAGATTCGTGACTTACGGATCAGCTGAATTATGTATTAATATAGAGGTATAAATAGTATTGAGAGCAATTTGGTTCCACCTGCTGTCCGCTGCAATTAGCCTGCACGCGCAGGCAGTTGCGTTCCGCTTGTGATCGGAGCGAACACGACGACCGCTAATCGTCCCTACTCATCATCTACTCTATTATTAAGCCTAATTTCCAAGGTGTGCGCAGCGCTAACAACAAGCGCGCCGCATGCGCGCGACCGTTGCGATTCCGAACGCAGCCTCTCGCGCCGATAGACCTGATCCTTGCATCATGCTCTGGTCAGTCTATCGTGAAACTACTTGAAAAGGTTTCCGATATCGCATGCGGAATTCTCCATTAAATTCTCCACTTAATTTCTCCACTGGATCAATCCTAGATGAGTCTAGACAATAGATGAGATGACCTATATAAGACGATAAGATTGTTTACTCTTTGTGTTTCTTTTCCTCTTTCTTTCTACTCGTTTTCATCATATTCAATGTGATATATGAAAATTGGTTGGATTAACGACAGTAAACGAGCCATACGAATTTCGGGAGAAGAGGGTAAACCTTGTGGTTCTCGTGAAATACAAATCTGGTTCCAAGAGCCAGAAATCCTTTCTCACTTCGAGTAAAATGCATCTAGTTTGTTCATTGTCGTGTCAACCGGTTCACTGGTGAACCCGAAGTCAACGTTTTATGATGAGAGCGAAAGGTTATTTATAAAGATTTTTTTGGGTCGCTGGTGACGAATTCAGGGTCGAAATTTCGAAATTCAAAATGATGGATCCAATATAGCGGCTTCAAGTGGCTAACTTTGATATCCCATAATGGATACGTATCAAACTCGGTTTGTTTCTTTGGTCGCAGGTAATGACTGCCATAAATTCGAAAGTTCCACCAGAGCTATTAGGCAAATAAGTAATTTTCTTCAACATGTTTCACTCGCTAATAATGGAAGTAAGAGTATTCGTAATGGAACATCGTTAGTCACTATAAACCGTCATATTTGATTCGCCACTTTAGATTTTGCAATTTCGATTGGATTCATCAACAACCTGATGAAAATAAATATATTGAATATGATCGTCTTTATAATGGCATAACAAAATTAGTCACTTGGACTGCCATATTAGATCTGCCATTTTGAATTTTGAAATTTCGACCGTGGAAATTTCGTCACCAGCAACCCGAGAAATCTCTGTAAAGAAGATTTCATACAAAATTAAATAGGAATATCAATCTCAATATTCTTTGAAAACTAACAAAGTATTGAGTATTTAAGCGCCGCTATATTGGATTTATTATAATGAATTTCTTAAATTTGATTCCGGACTCATGGTCCGGCTCGTCCGTGATCGACTCATGGTCATGGTCGTCAACGACCCAAAAACCATGGGTGTACCAAGTTTGATACAAATCCGTTGAAAATTGACAGATCCGTGTATGGTGCTCATATATGAGTCATCATCAGTTATGACACTTTTTTCGCTCATATATGAATCACTAGCAATGAACTGATTAATTCGACCGGATCTCTCTCAAGTGGACTGTTTAGTATGAATAAGCATGTATAAACAAGCGAAAGACGGGAAAGAGAGAGAATTGAATTGAAGAGAATTGAAGAGAAATGAAAGGAATAACAGGAAGTTTCCGATCGCGGGAAGCTTGCCGCATAGTTTCACGATATCCGTGCCGAGTCGCGTGGCGCCAGTCGATACGCCAATCTCTCGCAGGTAATCCCAACCCTTATTCCCGTCGGTTTCTGCCCTTCGCGTCTCCCTCATCCTCCTCGAGAGAAGGCCGGGGAGAGGAACACGGGCTGCGGAACCTGCCGCAATCGGCGAGTTCTCCGATCCGCTATGACGGTTGTTACGTCATTTCCGGCAGCAGTCGCCCTTTCCGCCAGTTCGGCTGCGCTACCGGCGCGTCTCTTTAGCCCGGTGGTCGTACGTACCTTCCCCCCGGGCCCCCGTGCAGCCTTCCTCTCAATCTCTCTCGCGGCACCCAGACAGACTCGGACATGTACACCCAGAAGTGTTCCACGTCGTAGTCGTCCCTGGCGATGTATAGACCGGCGCGACGACGGCGGTAGGCCCGGCTGCGCGGACGACCAATCGCGCCGTACGACTAGTGGGGGTGCCGGTCGCGTCGCGACATTGTGGGAGGGGAGGGTTCTCCGCTGTGGAGCAGCGCGACGCAGGGGGCCGCAGCGCCGCGAGTTCTCCGTCAGAGAGCCGGCAGCCCGCAACGCGAGTGTTGCTGCCGAGCTTCGATATAATCGAGAGGCCGCAAGCACTGTGTGAGAGAGAATCGTCGCCGTCGCCGTCACCGTTGCCGCCGCCGTCGCTGCTGCCGTCGCCGCCGCCGTCGCCGCCGCCGTCGCCGCCGCCGTCGCCGCCGTTGTCGTCACCGTCGTCGTCATCGTCACCGTCACCGTCGCCGTCATCGTTATCATTGCTGTCATCGTCACCGTCATCGTCATCATTGCTGTCACCGTCAACGTCGTCGCCGAGAGCGACAGCTCAGGCAAGAGAGCCCGTCGTCGCGGCCGGACGTCGACGGACGCAGGAGGATCTCACGTCCTGCTCGTCGACGGAGAGACCTTGCCAGAGACTTCCGCATCGGACGTCCCGCTCGTCCGTCGTCGTCGGAGGCGCCCGTCGATCTGTCTACGCCGGTCTCCACGTAGCTCTCTCTCTCTCTCTCTCTCTCTCTCTTTCTCTCTTTCTCTTTCTCTCTTTCTCTTTCTCTTTCTCTCTCTCTCTCTCTCTCTCTCTCTCTCGCGCGCACTCTCTTGCTCTCCTTGTCCATCTCTCTCGCTTTCGCTCGTCTGCTCGTCTCTCGCTCGCTCGTTTACTCGCCCGCTACCTCCGTCTGCGGACACCCGGCATCATAGCATCATACGCGGTACTTGCTCCGATAATACAGACACGTATATACACGCACACGTAGATATACATCACTATACCTTCCGCGAGCTGTCTCGTTCCGTTTTCCTCTACTGATCTGACCCGACCGACCTCACTCGGCTGCCTCATCTTCCCCCCTTTCTACCTGTCATTCTTTGCTCTTGCTTCTCGCTCCATCCCTCTCGCTTTTTTCTACCCTCTCTCTCTCTCTCTCTCTCTCTCTCTCTCTCTCTCTCTCTCTCTCTCTCTCTCTCTCTCTCTCTCTCTCATCTATTCTCAATCGCTGCGATCTCTCCGTCTGGCACAGCAGCCGCGGCGGAGCGCGAACGGGACGAGAAGCGGGCCGGGCCTGGTCCCACTCTGAGAGAGCAGACGAAGGGACCGACACACGGCTCTCGGAGACGAGCAGTCTTCGGTGCACGCGCGCCTCTTCATCATCTTGAGGGACACCTCGCGCGCAGCCCGTTCCTCAAGGGCGCCGTCACCGTCCGCCCTGCACCGCGGCAGCAGCGGTCCTCCGGGATACCCGGAAGTCGGAACCCGGTTGAGGCTACCCGGCTCGAGGAACCTAGAATATATTGCTGGAGGGTGTAACGAGTAACCAGCAGGTGAGTGCGCACGGGACGTGGTTGAGCCGCCGAGCGGCCTCGGGCCGATCGAAATCGCCAGCTGCGTGTCGGCGACCGGGCGCTTAATCGGGTCACCGATGACGACGACGACGACGACGACAACGCGACATATTCAGCCCTGACGAAATTCACGCTGACGATTCCTCCTCGACGATATGACGTATGGATTTTATCGGTCGTGGCGGCTGCCGACGCCGCCGCCGCCGCCGCCGCCGCCGCCGCCGTCGTCGGGTGACCCACGAGAGGGGGCGACTTGTTACTAAGGGGGTGCACTGCAGTGACGGTACGTGGTGGGGTAGTCTCGCCCCGAAAGTTTCGCCGGAGTACCGTCCGTTCTCGTTCGCCGGTCCCTTTCCCGTAGTTAGTGCGAAAGTACAGATCGGCGTTCCCACACACGCACACGCGCGCGCGTGCGCGCGCGTTCGGTCGAAAGGCGTTCTCCGGGAAGGAGAGAATAAAGACGGAGGGAAAGAAACGGAACAAGCCAGAGTGTTACACAGCAGTGTCCGGCCGCGACCAGGTATCCATCATCCCCTTGGCACACATCGGTTCCTTTGAGAGGAAGTGGCTGCAGCCGCGCGCTAGTCAGCCGCCCTTCGCGCGTGTGTACGCGTTGCGTACGAACGACGCACCACCCCGGCGCCGCTGTCGTAGCGTGACGATCGATCGCCGGTCTCTCTCTCTCTCTCTCTCTTTCCCTCTCTCTCTCTCTCTCTCTCTCTCTCTCTCTGGAGTACGAGCCGAATCGCCCGAGTATTTTCGGCCGCCCAGTCGGCTGTAGTCAGAATTTGGATCAATGATCTAAGACTGTACGCGCGGCGGAGGCGCCCGGCATCGTAGCTGTCCTGCGCATTGCGCAGCGGAGGCGACGGCGGCGGCGGCGGCAGCACCACCGCTCGAGCCCGAAGGGCTCTTCGCGTACAAATTCTGCGCAATGCCGGCGCCGCCGACGTATGAAAAACGGCACGGTGCCGCCACGGCGCCGACTCGCTCGCCGCCAAGCGATTCCTCGGTAGGATCGAGTGGCCCGGGTCCTGCCGCAGAAGACCCGGTGACTGCGAGGCGCTTGGCCCGACCGGACACGAACTCTCTTCTGTGTCGTCCTGTGTCTTCGCGGACCTGTTTTTCTCGTGGCCTAGATATATACTCTTGCGCTCTTCTCTCCCCGTGCCGCGCGCTCTCTCTCTCTCTCTCTCTCTCTCTCTCTCTCTCTCTCTCTCTCTCTCTCTCTCTCTTCTCTCTCTCTCTCTCTCTCTCTCTCTCTCCTCTCTCTCTCTCTCTCTCTCTCTCCCTCTCTCTCCCTCCTCACGTGAAGGGCTTCTTCCGTCAGCGGGCGTCTTTCCAGCCGGCCACGGGAAAACTGACTTTCCACCCGCCGTGGAAGCTCGGCTCGGCTCGGTAGGGTTTCCACGGGAATCTCATCGACGTTTGGCTTAGCCGCGGTAAGGTTAGCAGCGGTATACTAAACGTGCGCGAGCCGCATCGTCGATGCACCCTTCGCCTTGAGATCTTGCACTTGGCGATCGGCCTTTTTCCTCTCCCTCCCTCCTTCCCTCCCTCTCTCTGTCTCTCTGTCTCTTTCTTTCTCCCTCTTGAACATATAGATTCCGCTTGGATCTAGCTACCGTAGGTAGAGATGCCTTCTGATTTCTTTGCCTTAGATTCTCTCTACACTTGACATTTCGGTAGAGAGATACCTCGCTCATGTTCTTCTACACTTTCACACACAAAGAGGAGAGCTCGGTTGAATTAATGTGATGGGGAACGAGCCAAGCGCGTCTTGCCCGGAGCGAACGGAATTTCTGCTTCTTGCGAATGAAAGTCCTCGGTCCTGAGAACCAACAATTCTGTTTCCTTCGACGAAAACGCGTCTGCCTGGTGGCTTGGTTCATTCATTCGATTCTCGTACTCGAGTCAATTGTTTCTCCCCGTGCAGGTTCTCTCGTTGGAATCTTCGTAGACATCAAAATAAAAGAAAATTCGAACATGGTTACTCGAAGATGGGTGGTGCGGTCTCGCCATCTCGCGATGGCGGAATCGATAGATTTCTCCTCCGGAGAAATCTGCAGATTTCCCCAGGAACGGCTCCAAAGCCTCGTCGGTGAATTCCTGTCGTCGTCGTCGTCGTCGAGTCGCCGGCAAACCCGCGAATCCGCGGCGTTTCGCGACGGACGTCGCGGACGTGTCAGAGCTGGTCGCGGAGGATTCGTCATAACCTCGTGAAGGTTCACCGGTTCACGACCGGCGGCGGCCGGCTATAAAGCTGGTATTAAGGGGTAATATCGCGACGTGCCGTCTTCACGGGGAAGGGATTACGAGTGCGCCCGACCCGAGGAAGACAGCAGCAATGCGGCGCTTTGTAGCGACCGGCCCGTCTCGCCCTCCGTTCTCGACCTTTGGCCGCTTCTATTTCGGCCCCGTTTCTCCGCCTCATCTCGTACGCAATGCAGATGGAGCGTCCGCGGGCACGTCGCTCAATTCGCGCGCCGACGAGACCCCGCGCGATGGACGGACGATCTACGCGCGCGATAGGTTTGGGCCGAATAATCCGCGGCGATAGCGGAACGTAAATCCAGCCGACTGTGAAACTGTCCGCTCCCCTCGCCTCTCGCGGAGGGAGGCCTCTCTCAACTAATCGCCGTGCTAACAGACGCGTTAATTGCGATCACCGGGTCGGCCGCGTAGAAAGCGTCGAGGCGCGATATTCGCGGGGATTTACTTTCATGAGAACAAGTACACGTCGCCCCTGGATTTCCCTCCGAAGGAAATATATCGCCTCGACCGTGTTTCGCGGAGGGGAAAGCTCCAAGCCGGCACAGTCGTCACATGCGGTTTCGATCGCCCTGTGTTCCAGCAATGAGTACCACGGATCCCACCGGGGAGGGTGGTGGAGGAGGAGGAGGAGGTGGCGCCGGAGGAGGAGGAGGAGGAGGGGGCGGTGGTGGAGGAGGCGAAGGTGTCACGACGACGACGAACGTCGAACAAACGGCATCCCCGAGCACGCCGATTACCGGCAGCACGATGCCGACGCAGCCGGCTACTCAGCAGCAACAACAGCACCCGCCGCCGTCGCCCCTAAGTGGCTGTTACCTTCTCGTGGTGCTTCCTGAGCCTCATACCGCACAACACAAGGACCTCATCCTAAACCGCCTCGCGAAAGGTAAGTGCCCGGGAGAGATGGAGAGAAACGTCCGTTCATTAGGGACAGGTTTTCACTTTGTCCGCGGCGGCCAGGAGTCCGTTGGTCCTCCGTCAGGATACTTTCCGATGCTCTTAACATTGCGGGCCAAGCATTCCATCATATCCAATATGGTCCTAACCGATGACCAGCTATTTCTTTTTGCTTCAGATTTTTTCACCGAGATAGTGTTGGCTACTACTACATCCCGGTCCGCAAGCTTACTTGAAGCTGTAAGCGAATTGACCAGCCGTAGTCGATTGTTCTTGTAATAATTAACTGTGATTGGTTGGTTTGCTTACGGCTTACGGCTTGAAGCAAGTTTGTGAACTTGGGCGCGAAATCGGTTTTGGGAACTTGGTTTTAATTATAAAGTTGATAGATCTTGGACCCTAAGCTAACTTAAATACGTTCCGTAACTGATCAGCTAATTCATGCGATCGAGAAATTCGGCGATCAAGAGAATAAGTAATTAAAAATCTATCCATTTCTCTATCTAATATTATCCAATGTTACAAAATTAGCTAGTAGCTAAAACCAAGTTTGTAAACTGATAATCCTATCAACCTTATAATTAAAACCAAACTTTCCGAAACTGACTTTGGAACAGGCCTCTAGGGTTATGTGTTGCCACTTTTTACAAACGCCCTTGATTGATATATGGGACACGCGAAATATCTCGTCGTCAGCCGTCTATAATGTGTTAAGTCTGTTGCTGTCGACTGTCCTGCTAAGCTTATGCATTTCAAGTGAGACGAATGTAAAATCCCCGGCATCGAAGGAGCAAGGAACAAAACTGCAGCGCTGGTTTCTCTGGGAATATTATCGATCAACGTCAAACATGTCGATCGTACCGATTCCAAGGGAAATTCAACGAGGAGGCTTCACAGGGCCCGTGAGAATTCAGCTTTAGATTCCGTAAACAGCCGGGGCGCGCGCGCGATTCGGCCGCGCCGCACAATCGGGTCAGCTATAGACCCTCTATAGGGTCTCTCACGAGCACTTGAGCGTAATCAGCGATTTCTATAATTATCATTTACCACTCTTCATAGAAAACATACAGCCACGGGCCTGTCTGTGTATGTGTATGTGTGTGTGTGTGTGTGTGTGCGTGTGTGTGTGAGGGGGGAAAGATATAATGGTGTAAAGACCCCTACTTTCGCCTTCCCATGCGGCACAGGCCGCATGCCGCACACGTTCTCAACCCTTGGAGAGTGCGAGACCTCGAGTCGGCTCGATGTCCAAACGCGCAAGTCTTCTCTGAGCGAACAACACCTAAAGGCGTCCGACGCTATCAACGCTCGCTGTGCGCGAACGGCGTCTTTGGGCATCTTCATTCGTTAACATCGCAACGTGCGAAAGCGTCACATCCTGACGACAACGTTCAGCGTTAACTTCGCGCGCTGCACTAGGCGATCGCCTTGCTCTTCTGGGAGGCTCGCGGCTTAACGATCCGGACACATCGAAGAACTTCCCCTCATGGCCTCAATGACCACAATAAGATCACACCGAAGTCATAGTGATGTGCGAATGTTCGCTTTATCAAGTGTGATGTCATGGGAACATCAGCGAAGTCATGGTGATGTTTCAATGCCGCTTTATTATAAGTGCGATGTCCCTGTGACATCACACTTGCGAACATTCGCACATCGCTATGGCTTCCATGTGATCTCATCGTGACCTTGATGCCATGAAGGACAGTGAGACTTAAGCAGTAAGGAAACTGACTGATCAAAATTGATTGTTTTTCTTACAGCCCCAAAATATTCAACTGCGATTGGTTAATTTGCTCACTTTTTATGTCTTGCTGCTCAGTTTTTTTCTGCGTGTCTAGGCCTTAAGGGTTAATCCGTAAGAGCCCGAACATACAGAGAATTCAGGCAAGAAGACATAAGCAGCAAGGAAATTGACTAATCAAAATTGATTGATATTTTTCTCACGGCTCAAAAACATTCAACTGTGATTGGTTAATTTGCATACTGCTTTCGTTTTGTCACTTTAATTTTCCTGTGTGTCCAGGTCCAAAGGATTGACCCATAACTGCTACTTTGGGCTGCCTATGCCGCCCACGTTCCACTTTACTCGCTATTTAGTTCCATTGAATTGTGTCAGTTCTGAAAAGTAACACTTTTTTGGTTCTGCCATAATTCTCAAACTGTCCGTCGCGGGGCGCTGACGTACCTTCGATAGCTTCGGCAACAGTCTCATGTTTCTTTGCGCTTTTCGCACTCTTTTACGTTGAAGATGGCAAACTCGACCGGGGTCTATTCGATCCTCCAGCGTGCTGATGGCTTTACCGAGAACCGGTTACGAGTTGACCGGCTGGACTATCTGAAACGATACGTTATCAGTTGAACAGCACGCATTATGCATGCGTACGATTGAAACCTGATAACCGCGTGATTATTATCATTATTATTATTGTGTCCGCATAGTCCGGAGAGTCGCAATTTGCATTTAATCGGGGCCGACGACGTATCGGACACGAACAGTCTATTACCGATATGAGCGGCATGCAGGCACGGCTAAGGAGTAGAAGCAGCGCTCTTCGCGACCGCCATTCGCGCCGGCTCGCGCGCCCGTGTGGTCGCCTTCCGGAGACTTTCCGTTTCGGCGGACGCTCCGTGTCATCGCGCTCCGGGATTAAGATTGCGCATATCCGTCGCGTTGCCGCGACTTCCTGGGCGCGCGCGCGCGCGCGCACGTATGTGTGTTTTTATTTGTGTGTGTGTGGGTGTATGTGTCGGCTTGTGAGTGTGTCTTCTTGTTCACGGCGGCTGTAACGGTGCTTGTCCTCCTCCGCTCATATTCCTTTCGAGTTATCGGCCAGGCTGAGCTCTGCCGATGAGCTCGGACGACTCCGTGTGTTGCTAGGCGGACCGTAAAGCGGCCTCTCTTTCCCGCTTCGCCTCGGGAGGAAATCGACGGTCGCGCGTCCCGCGGCTCGTTTATTCCTAATCGTCCCCTATTAGACGCTCGATATCAAGCCGCGGCGGGCGTTAATTCCTCGCACTCGCTCGCTCGCTCGTACGTCCCCTCGCAGCTGTAGGTGTGCAGCCGGCGCCGGCGGAGCGACCGACACGCTTCTTAATCGCGCGAGAAAGAAGCGTGGCTCGCGAGCAGCGCCGCGCTGTGATACTAATTGGCTTTACGGCGGCAGAGGAGCGCGCGCGAGCCGGGGTTCCTTTGCGGCGGCTTGCCTGCGGGAATCGCGCGTATCGAGCGATCGATACCGTGGCACTTTATATCGCGTCCGGTACTTCCGTCGAATTTTTATCGCCGTGCTCTTCCTCGCGAACCTTCGTGTCGGAACGGGCTGGGCTCCGAAGACGAGTCGAGTTGCATAAATTTTCTTGCACGGATCGCAATCGGGTCGGACGAAGAAAAGTCGGATCGAGATCTCAGCCTGAGCCTGATTAAGATTGAAATTCGAAGCAGGATTCGGTGCAACGAAGGTTAATGAAAAGTTAACGGGACGAAATTGTTCTTTCAATTAGGATTCAAAAAAGTTGATTTGATTGCATAATTGCGGTAGTTTTTGCTGCGATAAAAGGCTAAGTAAGTTAAACAGGACCGATAATGTAACAGGACCGGCTTAACTCTGTAATCGCCTCTCAATGAATGAATATTTGAGAACGTTTTGTACCAATTTTTGAAGAAAGAAAAAAAGAAAGAAAAAAAAAGAAGATATTGGAATTGGAATGGAAAGCAATATTTCTTAAAATTGTTAATCGTTTGAATCTTCTTGGACGTTCTTGGACGTTCTTGGATCATTTGTATGAATTGTCATTGTGTGTGACTTGCGTCATTTTATTCTCAGAAATGTCACTCGCGTCTTTTGGGACGATATTGTCATTACAGTCACGACATATTGTCGTTACAATCGCCGCGCGCGAATATGCGCTCGGGATTTCTAATTAGATACGACGACGTAGCTCCCATATTTAATTAGAGGCGTTAAAGAAAGCGATAAAAGAAGAAGAAGAAGAATATATTTCTCTTGTGCCGTGTTCTTTCTTCGATCGGAGGACACGCACGGAGTGCTTAGTGACAAAATATTAAGGACAAAGGATATGTCGGTAGCGAATTAATTAGAGAGACCAATCGAATAATCGAGAGTCTCTTCGTTTTTTCCGGGACATCTCACGCGCGGGTATAATACATCACCGTCGACGGGCTAGCGGAATTCTGTAATATGTTTAACTTCCCTGTCGCACGTTCGCGCGGACATATTAAAATTAATATCCCAACACACGACACTAATAGAAGAGAGAGAGAGAGAGAGAGAGAGAGAGAGTGAGAGGGAGGGGCAAGAGAGGGGGAAGCAGACGCACGGAGCTCGTATCGTTCGGGTTTTCCGCATTGCGCCAACGATGATTTTTAACGGCGGCTCTCGTCGTCGACTACCCTCCTCCCCCCTCTTTCTCTCTTTCTCTCTCTTTCTTCTCTTTTTCGCTCGTTTATCTGGCGATTTTTCAATGGCTAGCGCGCGCAAATTGTACAGGCCGCGCGGTCGTTTGCATTTGCGACGATGATTTCGCGAAATGCCATTCGATAACGGCGTCGGTGCGCCGCTAGCTTTGACGTTAATAGCGCGCCACATTAAAGAGCGTCCGTGGTATTTAACCCACTGCGATTGAATGTACAGGGTGTCCGGGACCTTTGGGAAACGAAAGATTGTGAAGATTAATTAGATCACACCGAGAAGAAAAGTCATATGCCATTTCGCAAAAATCGCAACAGTTATTGAGTTAATGATTGAATTAATGATTGAAAATGACCACATCTAGAGGCTCTTTTAATTGATAACCTAAAAATTTGCAAAATGTTAGAGGACTTTTTTGTTCAGAATAACCTAATCTATAATTATATAACGGCTGATTTAGCGATAGATATGAGTATATTAAACTTTGAATCTTGGATCTTGAACCTATCGTACAATAGCCGTCATATAATTATAGATTAGGTTATTCTGGACAAAA